TTTTTTTTTTTTTTACACTTTTTAAGCAACCTGCTTATAGAGGAGGGATGGTACTTCTTCTGGCAATCTCTTTCATTCTCTCTTTTCCTTCATAGTTAAGTTCTTTATTTAAAATTTTTTCTTTTTTTGTTGAGAGGTTTATGCTATACAGTGCGTGCGCTTACCAGAAAGACAGAGACAGAAAGCAAGAAATCACTCCAATCACTCCCCCCCCGGGGGGGGGGGGGTGATGGCCATGCCGCAATCCCTTCTCCTCCATTCTCCTCTCAGGATCTTGGGCATGCACATGTGCCTGGCATGAGTTTAAGCTGCCGGGTCTGGGACTTGTACCGCAGTCGACTACATGGGAGTCCAGTGACATAGTCATTGTGCTATTTGCTGGTCCCTATAGTTCAGTTTTAATGTTTGTGAAATAAGATTGTGTGTGTGTGTGTGTCTATAACATACATAAAATCAGCTAAGGTTGAGAAAAAAAATCACAGAAGATTTACTGAGTCTTCTCTCAGCACAATATACATGGCCTATAAATATTACCTCCACAATGATTTTTTATAATTGCTAATTATGATAGTTAACATTCTTTAAATGCTTACTGTTTACAAACCTCCACACATCCATATTTGTTTAACCCTCGTAACAGGCCTGTGATGTATTAGGATTGCATCTCTTTTCATATGGGATATAGAAGCTCTAAATAAGTAAATAATTTGCCCAAGATTAAGCAACTAGAAAGCAAAAGAATTGGGATCCCCAAAGACAAATGTGAAAGTACCCAATAGTGAAGACTGGTTGTTTTCGCTTACCTCAGTCCATTTCCATCCTAGAAAAGGTCCCAGATTTTGTTTTGGGGACGATAACCTATCTTTATTTTCAGCCCTGGAGTTTAGATGAGATTTCCCCAATGTGTTCCAGAGGTGAATTCTGATTTTCTTGAGACAAATTGAGATATCTAATCCTACTGGCCCTGCAATGATTAAGGATCGACACATGCCCCCGTAAGAGCCACTGAGCTGAAGAAGACATCTGTCAGTGTGTATGGGTAAGAGAAGCTTCCTCTGCTGAAAGAGGAACCCAGTAAGGGAGGCTTCCTTTTTCTCGGATATGTTATAAGATCTGGAATGCTGCAGCCATTTTGCTACCATGTAGACTCACCATGTCAGGAAGCTATGTGAGGCAGAATGAAATCTGAATAAAACACAGCCCTTAAGCCAGCTGTGGTGGCACAGCAGTAATTTAAGGCACTGTGATGCCAGACTCATGTGGGGAAGCTGAGTTTGCATCCTGAGGTCCCACTGTATGTCCTGGGAGTGTATGTCTGATTGGGTAATACCATATGAAAGAGGTCCTGGGTTTGTGTCCTGGGACCTCTATGAGTACTTCACAGGCACATGCCCATGATGTGAGCCAGCTGAGACTAGAGGTAGGTCATGGTGTGAAGACCCTGTTTCTCTCTCTGTCCCTCACTGAAAAAAAGAAGTAAATAAAGATGTTTGGGGTGCTTGTCTCTGTGCCACTGTCTCCAGTGCCAAATTACTGAGAGGGAAGTAAATAAGCTAAAACTAAAACAAAAACACATTTTTGATGTACAGAAATCTTTAAAATTTCCCCTGAAACTTCTCCAATTGTAAGTTTAGATAGATATTTTACATCTAGAGATCATATCTTAATCACTATTTCTAGTTTTTTATTTTTTGAAAGTTTCTGGAATTTATTAGTGTATATAGTTCTAAGTATGGTTTTGAACCTCAATTTTTCCCCAAGTAGCTAACAAATTTGTTATTACCATTTACTGAAAAATCTCTATTTAGTCCGTGGATTTCTAACGCTTCTCTTTACACAGATTATTGATATCAGGGCCCATTTCTGGGCCTCATGTCTTATTCTCCAACCTGGCTATTCTTGAACCAATAAAACTTTCACTAAATTATTATAGTACTAATGAGATTTTCTTAATTATGAACTCAAAAATAATAAATTCTGATATTTTCAAAATATTATCTTTTATCTATAATCATTTGTTTAAGGCTTCTTTTCTGTCTTTCAATAGTTTGCATATCTTCTTTGGTAACTCCTATTACTTTTGGTTAAGGGTGTTCCTAGACATTGTATTTCAGTTGCTGCTGCTGGAAAACGTTAGAATTCTTAATGCCTCCCATTTGATGTCTTCACCAGAAACTGGAAAATCCTGAATTACAGACCTAATTCAAACAAATGAAGATGAGGAAACTGGCAGAACCAGTGAGAACAGATAAAGATATTTGAAACCTTGAGGGTTAGTCCAGGTGGTGGCTAAGTAGGTCTCTAGAAACATCTCTTTCTATGAGACCAGTTTCCAGCCTCAGCTTTTAGTTTCTTTGACATTTAAAATTAGATATTAGAATTTTTTGGACACTAAAAGTATATTGTAAAATTATTCAAAATTCGTTTGTAATAGACTCTTACCCAGAAAAAGACAGCACTTGCACAAAGGGTTACCCGTATACATTTTCCACAAGCAGTAAAAGGAATGCGTTCTTCTTCCTAATTAAAAAAGAAAAAGTTTAATCAACGACATTACTCAAATGAAATTGTTTTTTCTCCTGATTTGTTAATAAATCTTAAGTTTAATCTTTAAAAATTAGTTGGCAGGGATCAGCAGTTAGCGTAATGGCTATGCCACTGGACTCCCATGTAGTTGACCGTGGTTCGAATCCCAGACCTGGTGGCTTTAACTCACGCTGGGAGTGTGTGCATGCGTGCCCAAGATCCCGAGAGGAGAAGGGATTGCAGTGTGGCCATCCCCCCAGGGGGTGATTTCTCGCTTTCTATCTCTCTGTCTCTCTCTGTCTGGTGAGCGCACACGCCCTATAGCAAAAACCTCTCCGAAAATAAATAAATAAATAAATAAATAGTTGGCAAATATAGTTTTATTACTCATAACTGCACACTTTTTAAAATTTCAAACACAACAAAACATGTACAGTGTTCATTTTAATAACAATTTTTAGAAAATGCAATCATGGGTAATAGATATTTATCTGCCAGGACCCAGGCTGAGAAGTATGGGAATCTGACAGTGACAAGCTACATTCCTGAGCTTGTTTTAGGTTTTAGAAATTACTGTGATGGTAGTGCAGGACCCAGGCAGGACAAAAGCTTTCAGAGATGTCTGCAGTACTAGGTAACCATTCTATGTTTCTTGGTTGAGTTTTCCATATTAGTGATTTTGTGTAATGATGAATTTTTAGAGTTTTCAATTTATTAATATATTTAAATTCTTATAAGAAAATATTTCTTATTACTTACCTGGATTATAAGAGCAACTGTAATGTGATAATAGCTTAGATGGCATTTACTTTATGCCAGGTACTATTCTAAATAAGTTCTACACATTAAATCGATTAATCCTTTACCACAAACATGAAGAAACAACTCATTACTCCCAGTTTATAGATGACAAAATGGAGGCACAGAGAAGTTAGGTAATTTGCCCAAGATTATCCAATTATACGTTGCTGTGTTCAGATCTGAATACTGACATTCTCATGCTGGAGACTTCACCCTCACCCAATAGGCCTCTCTAGACCAATAGACTACAAATTAGTAAGACATGAAATGAGGAAGGAAGATACAGAAAAATGAAACTTCATCTGCAGGGTTTTTTAGAGAGATTTTTGCTATAGGATGTGTGCCTGCCAGAGAGACAGAGACAGAAAACAAGAAATTACCCTGCAGTGGAGATGGCCATGCCACAATCCTATCTCCTCCATTCTCCTCTTGGAACTCTGGGCATGCAAACATACATGTCCAACATGAGTTTTAAGCTGCCAGGTCTGGGACTCAAACCACAATCAACTACGTTAGAGTCCAGCAACGTAATCATTATGCCATCTACTGGTCTCGTAGTTTTTAAACAAGCAACTTAGTAATTGATGTAAAATATAAAATTGGCAGGTTTAAATGATCAAATTATCTTTTCTTCAGTATTTTTCCTATGTTGCTGATATTACACATTTTTATTTTTCAGTTACTCAAGAGACTTGATGGATATCTAATTTTGTCTAAACTTTAGCATTCATTTCTGAATACATGGTATTTGAACAACACATATTTTGACCCCCATCTTTTCTCACCAATAGTGGATCTGTCATCATAGAAATTATATGAAGATTGTTACATTGTAAAAGAAATGTCACCTGCTATAGGTAATCGAACCTCACTCTTTTCCATTTATAAAATGAGGAGGTTGAATTGGTTCCTCCAGGTCCTTTTAGTGTCACCATGCTGTAAATCTGTGATTCAATTTATAAAATCTACAGTTGGGACATTTTCAGATATTCTTGGTAAAAGCACAGCTTCTTTTCAAGTTATTCATATTCAGAACCTACTGTTGGTAAGCTGCTGGCTGCAAATACAATCAGCTCTACATTTTCTGTGTCAATGGAAAGAAGCAATAATGCAAATGATTCAAATGACATCTTTTGGGGGCTTTGAAATATTTGTACAGAGAGAGAAATAGTTTTTATTTTTTCAATCATCGTATCAGCAGTGATAGAAAATGCCCAGCACAAAGCCGCAACATAGCTGGGTCTCAGTAAATGTTGCCTTCTTTATGCATCCTTTCTTCCACTTTAGGATAACAGCCATGCTATTCTGTGCATATCCCAGCCAGAAGGTGGAGCACTGACTGAGGCTTAGTGCAAGTTAGTCTAGGATGAAGGGGCCGTACTAATGAAAGTGTGTGAGAAAAACTGAGAATCAACTATGAAAACTGATGCATTGTCCCTTACACAGCTATGCCATAGTCTATTTTCTTGTTCACATTTTTTACTGTTATTATGAAAGAGGGGACCACATCTGTCTCTTACCTGTGGTTTTAGGTGTGTTTCTTCACCTTAGCTGCACATTAGAATCACCAGAGACGCGTTAAGAAATCCCTATGCCTAGAACACAGCCCAGGATACTGAGTACCGAGAGAGTATGCAGTGACGAGTCTCAGGCATCAGTGTTTGTTAAACTCCCCCAGTTGATTCCAGTGTATAGCCAAAGCTGAGAATCAATGCAGTAAACAGAATAAATTACATCTAAATACAAGCTCCTTACCTGTGTAATCTCATTTATCACCACATGATTACACTGTGCTTCATATTCTGGCCGGGGCTGTTCTTCCTGCTGTAACTCAACAGTGTCCCACTCATACTCAAGTTCTGCTTGGCGCCGCTTCCAGAACTCCAAAAACAGGGTGACTAACAGAGAGACAGACCAGGATCATGTGGCCTTCGATGACTGATGTTTCAGAAATCTATACTGCATGATTATTTTATATATGGCAAATAAAATCCAACTTACAGATGACATTAATATTTAAAAGCAAGAAAAATAATTTCAAAAAAGATGTTGATAATTTACACAATTTATGAAATGGACAACCCCTTACAGGAACGGTAATAATGTGATCAGATGGCATGTGAGTATGTCTAATGCTAAAGCATCTGTTACCAGCACTTCATTGCCAACTACAAAGCACAAATGATGATCATAATTCAAAAGCAGTCTGTGGTCTATCTTCTAATCTGCTTTTCCCTCCCTCCTTTCCTACCTAAGATCCTGGGGGTAGGGGTGGGAGAATACCTTTGGATTTCTCAAATAAATTAAAATAATATTTCACACAGAAAACTACTATTTTGTTTAATCTCATGTAAAGTATGAATAATTTTTAGAAAACATTATTTTTCAGAATATGTAACTTCAACTACTAAATACAAACATCACATGTTAACTAAAAATGGAATTTCAGGGTCTATCCTGAAGGCCCTTCTGCCAATCAGGCTGCTACCCCTAAACCTCTCCAATATAGAAATCCAGGAATTACCTCTGTTCTATTCACGAATATTTTTTATGTGCATAGCAAATGCAAAATAAAGAAAAGTAAGACACAGTCTCCCCTTCCGGAAGCTCCTGGGGATATGGCAATTACCCTGCGCCTGAAATGACAGGTACAGTAGACTACTGAGAGACCACAATGAGAGTGAGTGCAGGCTGTTCTGAGTGTTGAGCCAGAACATCCAACGGGGTGTTCCAGGGGAGGCCTTCCCACAGTGGCCACTTCAATAAGTCTTGAAATGATTCAGATCTGATCTGAGTGGTAGGTGAAATGTGAAGACCACTCCCTTCCAGATAGCTGCACATGCAAAGGCAAAAGAGGCCAGAGAGCTAGGAATTTTCCAGGAATTACAAATAGTCTGGTAGTGAGAGAAGGGTGGGATGAGGAGGTGGGGCAACCAGATGAGGTATCTGCAGGGGACATCACGACGGGATCTGTGTGCTTGGAAAGGAGATGGAGGAGGCGTCAAAGGTGGCTACAGAACCCTAGAGACAAGGAGACCTACTGGTAGGTACAGGATGAGGGACACTGAGCAGGTACACTGATTGGTTGCAAGTATGGTATGAATGCAAGAACAGGTCAAGGATGCTGGCTATCTGGCTTGAGAAATTTCTTAAATCCCAGTGCCACTCCTTAAAATAAATATGATAAGAAAAGCAAGTCTGAAAGAGAATATAACTGGTTTGGTTATGATCAGGAGCCTGTGGGCTACTCAAAAAGAAATGTTTAGCAGATAGTAAAAGTCTAGAATACAGGAAGAAGATGTGGGCTGAGTCAGGAATTTTCATGGTAAGTGCAACCTGGGCTAGAAGTGGATGAGATCACTAAATGAGTTACAGAGTGGTAGTTCTCCCAATGGCTATGCATAAAAGGCACCTGGGGAGCTTTTAAAAAGTACTGAGCCTGGGCACCACCCCCGAGAGATTCTGATTTAGTTGGTCTGGAATGCAGCCCGAGCATAGTTATTTCTAATTTTTTTTTTTTAAAGCTCTAATAATCAGTCAGGACTGAGAACCACTGGATTTTCTAACCCATTCCTGTTTTTCAGAGTGTACCACCCCTCCCAAATAATATAATTATATCAATCAAAAATATGTCTGCATCTTTCTAAAAGCTTGCTACAATGTTATTAACATACACTGCATTTTGTCATTGATCTAAAGGTTGATAACAGCCAAATTATTTATAGAGTTCTTATTCTGTGCTTGTCACTTTCTGTCTATGAGCCTTAGGTAATTTGCTTAATCTCTCAGCATGTCATTTTTCTCATCTTTAAAATTGTTTCATTTACTCAGTATGTATCTATAATAGCTACAGTATCAACAGATGATTCATGAAAATAAACTTCTCTCCCAAAAAGCAACATAAGCAATTCTAATTAGTTCTGTAACAGTGAATACTCTCCCCCTTCTCTCCCCTGAGCTTGAACATAAGGGGTTCAAAGGCTGTTGTTTACCAATCCTGAACTTCAGGAGCTGCTCTGCTTGGGAAGTGATAGGGTTTCAATGCAAGCAAGAAATGACCTGTAGAAAGATACATTGTTAACAAATCTTCAACCCTAAATGCAAACCCCTGGGAGTCCTGAAAATGGGTGGGAGTTTTTGGTTCCTCATTTCATGAAGCTAAGGACTCTGCAGGGTCTATGGAAGACACTGGTAACCTAATATAATTGCCCAGTGTTCTGGAGTACTCCTAGACCACGTTGATGTTGGCTGTCAATGCTGTGTGCCCCAGATTGCAAGCACCAGGACCTGGGGTGACTGTGCATGATCCCAGACTGGAATGCCTGTTCTCTATCTTCCACTCTCCCTGCAACAAGACTAACTGTAGAACTCCACTGCACTTCAGTTCTTTGGAAAAATCACACACCATGAGGCTCCAGTTGATTAGCCACAGTGAAAACTCTTACATAAATATATAATAAGAGATAGGAGGAGAAAGGTTGCCTGAGACTTGGGAATCATAAGCAGCTTCTCTTTTTACTCATGTAATTACATCTCAAGAAAGTATGCAACAGATTAAAAAAGTTCATATAGAAAAAAAGGTTTAGAGCAATACAACGTCAGTGTTATTATGTCCTGCCATACGTCAGGACAAGACACACAGTCTGGCACATGGAGTGTTCTGGTTGCTATAAAAAATTTGCTGCTGAAGATTTGGAATGTTTTAACAGGTCCCAAACCATTCAGACTGCCTTACTCATAGAGGCAGATAAGGTAGATGAGCGTGTTCCACCTTTATGTCAAGTTACTGAAATTCAAAGGCAGAAAGTTAGCTACATTTTTCAGACTCTCTTGCAGCTATGGCTCTAGATAAGAGATGCTCATCAGATGCATCTGTGTCACTTAAATCAGAAACCAAGTTTAATGGAGGCAGAGGTGGTGGACGTAGGAGCTGTGTTATTTTTGCTGGGATATGTGGAGAGTAGTCAATCTGAGAAAACTATATTTCCTCCTACCTAAGAAATCAGAGTCCATAACTAAAGACAAGAATAGAGAAGTAATACCTGGTTAAAACAAACAAACAAACAAAATGACAGTCTTTTGAAGTCAGACTTAAGATGACAGATTCCAAAACAATTGCAGGCAGGAGGAGAACAGAGTGGTGGCAGTTGCCCTTTGGCCTAGTGCTCCTCCACCGTTTCCCAGTTAAAACCTACTTACATATCAAAGGGCATTAGGACAAAAAGAATAACTCCTGCTTAAACACCCTTCCAGAGAGCTTTACATTGCATGACAAATAGAAGAGAGGATACTTTGAGATCTAAATTATGTCATTAGAGACTCCTGATCCTGCCAATAGAAAACAACATGAGCTGATATCCTTTCAAACTCTAAAAAAATAAAAATAAAAAATGGTTTATATGCAATATAATCCTGCAACATGGTATACAGTTGCAGTATTAGAGACAGCTACTCAATCTGCATTTACCCCTAATGATTGGCAGGTGTTAGACAAGACATGCTTGTCAGGAGGAGATGATCTTTTGTGGAAATCTAACTGGTTTGAAAAAGCCCAAGAGCAGGCAAATAAAAATCAACAACATAAAATACCTATCACATTTAAAATGTTGACTGCAGCAAGTAAACAGGCCTATAGCGCCACATAAATTAGACATACCCCATGATGGGTGCCACTTGCCAGGACCTACTCGGCTGAACATGTTTTTCTGAGTGGGGAAGGCTGTGGATTAGAAATAAATGCAATAACAAACACACGAGTATAAAAAAGTGAGGATCCAGTGGCCCCATCTTCTCTGATGGAGAAGCTGTGATCCGAACCAGCCTCAGGTTTACTTTTTGAAAGGGCAGAAAATGGGGTAAGAGGAAATGGAATGTAAAGAAAATGAGGGAAGAGGAAATTGAATATAAAGCCATTCCATTTTGGATGTAAATCGTCTGAAGATGTGAAAATGACTGGTGAAGCAGAGCAGAGAGGGTAGGATTTCTGTCTTGACCATGTGAAAATGACTGGTGAAGCAGAGCAGAGAG